GGAATGGGTGCTCTCACACTGGGTGTGGGGACTTCTGAGGCTAGGAACCACCACCCACAGGAACACCTCTGTTCCCAGGAGACCAGAGTGGCAACGGGGAGACAGACATGTGGGGCTGCTTTCTTCCAGTGGGTTTGGGCTGGACCTTTAGCGAGTACAGGGCAGAGCATATTGCAGCTATCCCTAAACTGCAGTCCAACTGCAGACTGCTCAGTACAGCTGAGGATTTTTAAAAATAAATAAAAGAAGAAAACATACAGAACTGGAGAAGAAAACAAGCCTCCAGCTGGCAGGATGATGATAACTGCTACAGAAAGAAGTTTATTCATTTGCTTCTCCAACAAGAAGAAACACAGAAAGCCTTTGAGGAGCCATTACACAAAGCACCTGTTGCAAAGGACTGAGTAGAGATGGTTGTTAATGTTGTATTTGTACTGCTGCAAGTTACTTGCTTGCATTTTTTTAAAGACCAAATTCCTGAACTGTGTAATCAAAATGCATTCTTTGCATATGCAATTAATATAGTAATTTAGGTACCCAGCTTCTGTGATCTCATGCGCAAGAGTAACTGCTCATTAAGTAATTACATGCCTACCTGGTTTTTCCAGCACAGTAGAATATATTTGGAAGTTTACAGGCAGGCTTGGTGCAGAGGAATGAAACCACAAGCAGAGTCAAGGACAGAATGACAATCTCGACACTGCAAATGGGACCCTGAAGTGGCAATCACTTCAGGACCCCATTATATGCCCCTTAAAAAGGAGACAACAGCGCTTTTTATTCTGCTGGAAATGTAAAGGCCAGTGTCATCTTCACACCTCCTTCTGTTACCATCTGGACTGCGCTGAGTTACTGGATAGGTACGGTCGGCATCCAGATCATCCTCACACACTCTGGACATGGAACCACGCTTTCAGTGGAACAATCAGTAATGTCAACTATAAGCCTAGGTAGCAACCAGTCATAAAAATGTCTATGCCCCATCCCGACAAGGTGTCTTTTGAAAAGGATGAACTTGAGACATGCAGAATTTCACTCCAGCTGAAGAAGGGCAAGCTTTTCTTACAGTGGATTGAACAGTTGCTAGGGAATGAGAAACATATCCATCTGCTCAAAGAGGGCTGTAGACAAATTATTTGCAAAATTTTACTTGGGGGAAAAAAAATAAAATACTTGGGACACTAAAGTTATTAGTGATGTTTCCAGGCCAAGGAGCAGATTCACATTATGTTTATGGAAAAGGTTCACTATTTTGAATTATCAGGTTTTATTTTGGCTACATCAGCAAGTATGTGGACTAGGAGAGTAAGTACCAAGAACACAGTAACGTAGTGAAAGTCTCCTGAAGGAATAAGCAAATAAAGCAGAAGAAATATTGAACACTGTTCTCCAATTCACCACTTCAAGAATAATGATGCCTAAACACATCATTTGGCAGCCTTTTGTCCTTATTTTGTGTGGGTTTCAATGACAGCTTGAAATACAGAGAAAAGGGAAGTTGGGTATTTTGTCTTCTTAAAGCCCTCACCCTGGACGTTTGATCTGGGAAGAGAAATGAGGTGCTGAGGCATCAAGCAAAGGAATAATAAGCTCAGTGAAGACCTTGATTGAGATGATGATTCCCACTCTATCATCACTTCCTCTTGATGCATGAATGCTAATGTTGGCTTCATAATTACAGTCCAAAGCAATTAGTAACATTTGCTTATTGCTTTAAGAATGCCAAATGTTAAGCGTTACTGCCTGCCAGACCCCTCATTCTTGACCAAGTCAGACAAACTTGCCTCTCCCCCCTGTTTAAGAGCACAGCATTCTTACCTCATCACCTGACTGGCTGAGGTAATACAAGTCTGTCATGAAGGATCCCACAGAAGTGCTGGAATAATTACAGTACTTTGCACTTTCATACCATCCTCCCACTGGGAATTTCCAGTGTTTCATAAACATTAGCCAAAACTGATGAATTTCCTATAACGTATGATCGCTGTGATGCGTTTGCTTTAGGGGGTCAGACACATGCTGGTGAAGCCTCTTCAACAAAATGATAGCACAAATCAACGACAGCTCCAGTAATAGATCCCAGATCCCACATCCCGCATGCTAGATACCGGGCTGGCTGTAGCATGCAGGCTGTTAGCAGACAGCCCTACTTGAGGTCCCCCACACCCCAGCAATATTCTTGCCTGCCAGTCACTAACAACTTTTTAAAGAAAATAAGGAAAGATTGGGTCTTCTGGTTTTTTTAATCATGCACAGCCCACCACATGAAAGGCATGTAAGTCATGGACATTGAGTTCCCACATGGATACGGTCCCCTACCCTATTTTAAGTGATAACACAAGGAGAACAAAGCATTACCTTCCTCCCCAGCAGCAGAGTTTCCAACAGTCTCCCTTTCCCGGTCAGCCTGGTTGGAAACCGCGCTTCCACTTTTTGTCCTTCGAAGAACACTGAATGCCTTGTTTATTTTTTTAAAAGATCTGCTTCTTATAGTGGAGCGTTCAAAGTGTCGAGCTGCAACAGCAGGAAAAAACAAATCAATACAGTTCAGCAGTTCTGGGCTAGAACCGCATCATTTCTGCAGCCATTGGCATACGACAGAGCATAACAGCAACAGCAAGGCTGCCTGCACTTCACCTTTGCACCCAACTCCAGCTGATACTCCAAGGCTGCACCCACCTGAATCTGCGTACAGTTATCCTACCTCTGTCCCACACCCTGGAATTGCCACCTCCCCTGTATCTTTTGCCAGCCACGCACATAAATCTCCTGTGAGTGTGGTAGCCCGAGCGAGAACAAGCCTCAGTTGAGGCAGAATCAGCAGCAATCCCATGAAAAAAGCATATAAAAGGAAGAAGCACTGCCCTTCCCAAGCTATATAAGTTTGGCCAAAAAAAAAGCTGGAAGCTGTTGTTAAAAACTCTTGGAAAAAAAAGGGCACTACTGCCTCCAAACCCCACAATGCTTCCAAAGCCACCAACAACAGCCAACAGTTTCATGTCAAAAATTCAAAGATTATCACGTGGGAGGGACCAACTAAATCACATCTTCTAACTTGGGTAAGGCAAAAAAAAAAAAAAAAAATCATAGTAGTTTCTAACATGTCACTCTTTTTTCCATCCTGGTGAAGATACCTTCGTGTCTGTTACTGCTCTGTCTCTTCAAGCTCTGCATGCTAGCCAAATATTTTAATCTAATAATACAGCATTCCCTCAAACTAGACTTGGTCTCTAAACTCACTAAAACTGTCAGGATTTAATTTCATTCTGATATTCTCTTCTTGCCCCCTTCCTTCCCTCGCCTCTCTAGCCCCATGCACACAAGAGGATAGCACTGCTCATTTTTCAGTCTTTCTTCAGCCCTTCATCCATCTCCCCAACACGGAGCTGGTGCAACACAAGGTGGGATATTAATTTTGCTTTCAGAGTCCTCAAATACAAGCTTTGAACTCTCCATTAATGCTTCCAAGTCTGCATTTGGCCAGGCTGTGTTTTTCAAATATGACACTCATCAGAGCTGGGTGCAGTGTCACAGGGTGAAGGATCAAGGCAAGGTTTCCTGGTGCAACTTGTCCCTGACCGTGGTTATTTCAGCAGAACCAGCTCCTCTAAGCTGCACCTCCCTGGGAGGCTGGCAAACATCCCCGAAGCTCCTAGGGCACTTCTTAAGGTTTGTTTTCCTGCAAATACTTGGCAACTGCCAAACACAGTTCCCAACAGGCTTTTGGGTAGGTGCCCATGGCATGGTCTGTGGGGGTTACTTGGGCCACCAGGTTTTGGTGACGTCATTACACAGCTACACCACCTCTCCGGCACATCACACATGCCATTTGCTCTTCCAACTGAGCTGACTTGCCTAAATAATCTTTCTTAAGACCTGCAGTTTGCATGTGTGCAGCTAGTCCATCTTCAGCTTGATGCTGCCCCCAGCTAAGCAAATTGGTTTTTCACCTCAAATCTATTGGGTCACTGAGTGCGCAATTTGACAAGCCATGTAAAATTAAAGCTTTCGCTCTCCCTTTTTTTTTTTAAAGCCTCCAACAACATATGTTTCACAGAAAACGAATGCTGAAAGAGGCCACCAGGCTCTGAAACCATCACTTTTAGTTCTTACTTCTGTTTCGGTTGCTGCGATGCAGGTCTCCGGGGCTGCTGCCCGACTGGCTCTCCTCAGAGGTGGGGCTGAAGGCCGGGTTCACCAGCCCCGGCTCATCTGTCATTAAGGCGATGGCCGCAGCTGCGGAGAGCTCAGGGCCCAGGGCGGCTACTGCTAAGCTGGAGTCATGGTCCGGAGAGCAGTCTTGGGAACGCCTCTTCCGTTCCTTAGTAAGGCCATAGTGGGATGCTCCTTTACATCTAAGGAGAAGGGAGGGAAAGGGAGACATGATAACAAGTTGTATTTAAATGTTGCATATTTATGGAAATTATCCCAAGCCAAGGAATCACTTGGAGTACAAACTGTGACTATCACAGTGGCCGATGAAATATGGACACTTAACAAGAGGGAAAAATGCCAGTAGAAGTAGTATAATCGGAATCAAACAGAAGGAAAACTGTCCTCCAGATTGGCTGAATTACCACCTTACATGGAAAGACTACTGCTGGTCAAGAAAAAAGAGAGAGCTGCAGCCTTGCCTGTAGTCTCATGTGTATAAAGAGTTACTGTGGATACAAGAGCACAGGAATAGCAGGTGGCTAATTAAACCAGAGGCTCCAGTCCATAATTTTCCCCTTGCCTCTGATCAATGAAAGAGAGCAGGGTGAGGCCTGATAGCTTCTCCAGGTCCGCTGGTGAAATAAAAGGCACCTTACTCAGCCCTGCACCCTGACAAATCTTCCCGGTCACCAAGCTGGTCACACCAGGAGCACAGCATTGTGGTCCTTCATGCAGGAGAGAGGCTCTGCCCTTCAGGTAGAGGCCAATGCAATTAATGAAGGGAGGGCTGAAGGCAAGTCAAATGCCTGGGGACAGTGGGAATCGAGTCCCCATGCAGTGCCCATACAGACCATTTACTACTTGAACTGCACCTGATGAATTATTTTCAAATCCAGCCATGGAGATGAAGTTTCCATCTCTGCTATTCCAGCTCAGTTGAGACACTAAAATAGAGGAGTCATCACCTTGATGGAGGAAGAGTTGCAAGAGGTGGTGGGAGGTCCCACTGGCTCCGCAGCCCTGCCAGAGACAAGGAGGGAGCTCAGGGCTCCCACTGAATGACTGAGCCCAGGTCCTCAGGCATCAGACCAAGGCCGTGGGGCCAGCCTGGGACTTCACCAATTTGGGGAACTCAAGGCTGGTTCTAAAATAATACCGGAGGAAAATCCAAATCCTAAATCCTGACTCAACCTCCGCGGTGACAAAATGTACCGTTTCTGGTGGAGACATGTAAGTTCTCAGAAGAGCTGAAGATACAGCATTGTAGGAGGCAAATTACAAGCCTGTTTTGAAACCACTTACTTGTGGTTCCAACTCTCTGCTCTAGATTCATCCTAGGCAGCAAAGGCAGGACCACGCATGGCATTTCTTTCTTAAGACTTGTTAAAAAAAGTCACTTGAATGAAATTAAAGGTCACTGTGCTCTTCATAAGTCAGTATTTAATTAAAGCTATAAAATAACTGAAGAGACAAAGTAGCCCAAGGACATAGCACCTGTGACTTTTCTCCAGCACCACTTCTGCCCATTGCCCACCCACTAGAACCTTACTCACTACATTAAAGAAAATAATCTGCCTTTTAATCATAATCTAATGAGCCTGGCCTACTTTCAGTTGCTATTATCACTTTCTTCATAGCAAAAGCTAACTGATGACTTTCATAAAAGTGCCCTGTAGGACGAACTCACAGAAATAGCTACAGAAACCCTTAGGGACAGAAGCTCTTCGTAATATATGGCATGCACAAAAGGCAATGCATAATACATACAGTACACAACGCTAGTGGCTGAAGTGTCAGAAAAAGAAGTAGCACAACTGAACAGAGGCCTTGGAAGAGAAATGATTTATGGAAGCAGTTCCTGGGACAGAAAGATGAGATGAGGACAAGTCACAGAGCTCTCTATATCGGCTTTGGAGCAGCAGTTTAATTTCTCTTACGGTATTGGCTTTTTATGAGAGACAATTGAATTAAAAACTCTTTTTAGCACTAATTTATGATTTACCATCATTTACCTCATACTGCTTCTGACAACTCTCATCTTAAAGAGGGGAAAAAAAAACCCAACCCAAATTGTATCATACTGATGCAGCTGTGTAAGTGCTTTGTATATGCTTTAAGGTTTGGATGGGAATGACTGTGGCAGAAGTTATTTCTAAAACCTTTCACAAGCAAAAGGAGGTGTCTCAAAAGAAAATACTCTTGTGGAAGAGAAGGTTGGTCAACTATTTCAAAAAGCCAACAAAAAGCTATTTGGGCTACATATTCCAAGATGAGACTGCAAGAATAATAATGTAAAACAGAAAGGAAGAGCTCTCCTGCCTCCACAGCAGGCATTTTCCCATTTCATCCTCCCAAAAGAGGTCTGACTTCTTCATTAGCTTGAGCTGCTGGAAGCTGCACACCCTGCCAGTATCCCACACCCCGGCAGGATGCTCTCCTTTTTATTTCATGGGGAGCAGAACCACAAAGGCCTCCCCCTCTTGTAGCCTACCTAAACTTCTCCAACATAGTGTTTTGGGAAACCAGCTCCCCAATATCCTTGACCTCTCGCACTTGCAGTGGGGTCACATTTACTAATCCAGCCTATGAATGCTCAACAAAATAGTTAAAAATAGTCTAAAAAGCCACCACAATGAAACATACACAAGGAAATGCCTTCAGGGTGAATTGTTTGCTGTTCTCAAAAGACAGTCTCTGCCTTAGGGAGATCCTGCAAAGATTCAGAATATGATAAGTGATATTCCTACTCCACATTTTATTTTATTTTCCTCTGTTTTCACTATGCCAGTAAAGTTTCAGCAGTTGATATTAGGGTACCAGCCTTGTGAATGGGTCCTCAAAAGAAGATCTTTTTTTATTTTTAGTGTGTTGCATGAAGGTCAGCATGAAGATCAGAAGAGGCTCTGCCCAAAGGTTGCCAGCTACATGGATTCAATTGCTGCCTGGTGCCCATCTGCACTTCATTACTAAAGCCTTCACTTTCTGTGGAAATCCTCGCTCGATGCTGCTGGCTGCACTGCAGACACCCAGTTAACGGCATCAATCCAAAAGCAATGAACAGAAGACAGTTACTTTGAATGTAGAGAGGGCTGACACAGTTTAAGATGTGGCTTATTGGAGAAGACAAGTTGTCATGATACAAAGCACAAGGCATATCTTTCTAAATCTGCCAGAAATAGTTAAAAGACAACCAAAGCTTGTCAAGCATGAGCATTGAAGCTATTTCTTAAATAATTGTGGCAAGCATAAATGAACACAAATCAAGCCTTCTTTCTCAGGTTAACAGAGTGTCCTTGAAGAAGAAAAAAAAGTCCAAAGCCCTCAAACTTGTAATAAAATCTGCAACAGCATCTCTTCACTTTCATTGTTTTCCTTGTGCTGACACTGCTGTGATAACAGAAAACAGAAGAGACGACTGTCTAAGTGGAATCATATTTATAGTGTCTCAGCTACGTTTTTCCATATGGTTGGATTTGGCTCCCAGAAAAGAGAGATCCATAAAACAGCCACATGCCAGTACTAATTATCTCTCTCACTGTGATTATTAATCAGCTGCCTGATTTACAGCTGGAAGAGTGGGATACCTGATTAACGCAGGCCAGTCAGAAAGCAAACCCAATGCTGTCTGGTGGCCAAGGTGAACTACAGATTTATGTTCCTTCTCAGTCGCGCTGGACAGTGAGTACATCCGTGCAGCTGTATGATACTGAAACAATTTGAAGGCCAAAACTGAGAGAGATAAACAGACATGAATAATGTGTGCTGTACAGTTCATGCCATTAAAGTAGTGTCACTAGGTGCATATGGGAAATTCAGAAAACGGTTTCTTCTGTTTGCACAGCCTCTTTTATGAAGCAGAAATGTGCTGTCCTAAATACTGGCCGTATGAACTAACCAGTAGGCAGTGAAAGGGCAGTGGCAGCTGCTGAAACTTCACCTGGGGCTGCAATTCTGGATGGCATCAACAACGGTGGCTGCGGGGCAAGCCTTGCCCCGCACCCTGCTCCACACACAAGGGAGGCTTTGCAGTCCAGTCCTCAGGAGTAGCACATCCCAAGTGCTGGAGCCAGGAGATCCAAAACACCGTGGCTGCTTTAACTTGGTCCTACCATTTGTTAAAACAAGCTTGGGTCAAACTCAAAGCCCACAGAAACATTTCCACGTTATTTGCAAATTCACATGAAAACAGTGGTTTGAAAACAGAGATGTGTTTGCTTTGCAGCATCCCTAATTCGCACAGTGTAGCGAGGAGGGCCTGAAAGTGAGGTTGACCTCAAGGATTTCCATCAATCAGGCTGACACAGGGGCAAAACATAAAGGCAAAACATAAACAAGGACAACTGCATGGATTTTTCACCTCACTTCTAGTGATCGAAATGAAACAAAATCACAGGCAAAAAATATACATATATATTCGTAACGCATTTGCTCTTTTTAAAACACTCTGCTTTCTATCTGTGTCACTTCACAGGCTGCCCCTCTTTCTCCCTGTCTCACACCTGACTGCCTGGGCATGAAACAGGAAAAAAAGTGAATCTAGAGAGCGACGGTGCTTGTGAGCCAGGTCTGGCACAGCTAAACAGAGCAGAAGCCCTCTCTGCCCAGTTCCAGCAGTGCTTTCCCAACCTCACTTCCAGCGCACTCATATTTTGGTACTGTTTTGCTTTAGAGCAGCAGCAATGGACACATTGTCTGAGTGCAATTAAGAATAATGTATACAAAGCACTTATGATTGCCCAGCAGAAGAAAATACTGCATAATGGGCTGTCATCACTGATCCAAAGCTAAACCCTGATGAGGGTAGACAAGTATGTTTCAGCTCTGCCCTCACTGCAAGCAGTCTCATGCCTGTGTAATTTGGGCTTGACACAAGCTGGGATCAGAAGTACCAACAGTGTGTACCACACCCCAGCTCCATCACACAAAGTCCCCCAGCTGCCCTGGTATCCCCCAACTGATCTGTTGGAAAGGCTGATGGAGGAACTGAAGGTGCCAAGAAGGAGCATTTTGGATAACCTTGGGCTGATAACCTCACTTGTGAGACGTGGTGAGAGGCTCCTGCCGCATCTGGGAAGGAAGGGGGGATTTGAAGCAGAGAGGTTGACTCACAAGAAGGTGTTGGCAATTCCTGCCCCACAGGAACCATTTGCACCGTGAGTGCATCAGCAGTGACTGTAGCCCAAACATAACCCAAGTACCA